TATTTGAAAAACACAACGTCTTTTAACATTATTAAAAATTAATAAAGTTATTTTATTTAACATTTATTTATTTATTACAACAAGTTTATTTATTACAACAAGTATTTAACATTTGTTTCTAGTTAATATTTAATTGCTTTAAAGCAAACGAGTAATAATTTTTCATTACATCCGCCGGCGAGAGGCAAATATTTACGCCTCCAATTTGACGGCCGCAGCCAGTTAGGAGGCAGAAGCCATTGGAGGCTGCCTCCAAATGGCTTTGCCTCCAAAATTTCTTCTGGAGGCGGCCACCATTGGCTTCCGCCACTCTATTGGCGTCGGCCTCCAAAACATTTTGCCTCCAAAAAAGAACTCCGGCTGCGGTTGCCAATAGAAATGCGGAAGCCACTGGAGGCAAAAAAAAAAATATTTTGCTGCTAAAAATTGATTGGGAGGCCGCTGTCAACAGCTTCCGCCTCCTTAAAAAGTCGGCCTTTTGGCAGAAAGTTACTTTGCCGCCGGGCGGCATTGTCAACTCTGTTTATAGAGATAGAGAACAAAATCAGTAGAAGAAAATGGTTAATACAATTTAGATTTTATTAAATGTACGGCAGAACCTATTTTTGTTACAACGGTTAACAAGTCAGCAATAGAACGAGATCAGATCAGAGGCGGATCCAGCGTTTTATGGTCTTTGAGATTGCTAACCTCCGGACACGGAGCAAGCTCCAAACAGTTATATGAATAAACTTATGTCAAATAAGGATGCTTTGTAAAATAATGCCCCTCAGTTTTAGCTGACTCGTATCATTGAAGTGACAGGAAGAGTGTGGACTTTTGGTCAATATATAAATTAGAGAAAAAGTTTTTGCATTTATTAAGTTTATTATATATAAACAATTAATTTCGGCTAAATAAACCTATTTATTTTTAGAATTTTAGTAAAAGAGAGAAAAAGAAGACTGGTGAAACTGGCTTAAATAAACTCTAATTATCCTAACTAGAGACAACGTTTTGCAAATATCGCCACAAAATCTTTTAATTCTATTTTAAAATTTTATGGGGATAATGCAATTTTAGAGTTTAAATTATTTAAGTTTCAAAAAACTTAAAAATTATAAGTACATTTTTAGGATACAACTACTGATACAAAACAAACTTAACTTTCTTTCTTGCTTATTAAATATAGCATTTTACAATATCAATATCATTATATAACAAATGACCGAATAAATCACAGAAGTTCATATTTGAATTAAGATCTTCTGATATTATCAGAAAACTTGAGGTACCAGAAAAGCAAAAAAGATAACAAAAGTATTGACATTAAAATAAAAATTTACAAAAAATATTGTCAATGTTACATATTAATACATCAATTTTAATAAACACAATTATGAGGATTATTTTATTAGAGCATTTCAATGTTTTTAAATGTTATTCTTATTTCCAAAATAATACTTTTTTTTTCTGAAAAAAAAAGTATTATTTTGGAAATAAGAATAACATTTAAAAACATTGAAATGCTCTAATAAAATAATCCTCATAATTGTGTTTATTAAAATTGATGTATTAATATGTAACATTGACAATATTTTTTGTAAATTTTTATTTTAATGTCAATACTTTTGTTATCTTTTTTGCTTTTCTGGTACCTCAAGTTTTCTGATAATATCAGAAGATCTTAATTCAAATATGAACTTCTGTGATTTATTCGGTCATTTGTTATATAATGATATTGATATTGTAAAATGCTATATTTAATAAGCAAGAAAGAAAGTTAAGTTTGTTTTGTATCAGTAGTTGTATCCTAAAAATGTACTTATAATTTTTAAGTTTTTTGAAACTTAAATAATTTAAACTCTAAAATTGCATTATCCCCATAAAATTTTAAAATAGAATTAAAAGATTTTGTGGCAATATTTGCAAAACGTTGTCTCTAGTTAGGATAATTAGAGTTTATTTAAGCCAGTTTCACCAGTCTTCTTTTTCTCTCTTTTACTAAAATTCTTGAGTTCTTCATTTACTTTATCAATAAAAAAGGTTTTCTTTGTTGATACTTTTTGATTATTGTTTTTATTCTTTGATAAGTTAAGTATTTATAAAAAAAATCGAGTCACTATTTTAATTTTTCCTACAAAACCTCTCGCTGATGCTTTGGAACCATTTTCGTTGTTATAATTTTACATTTAATCGTTTATCTAAAGGTCATTTTTTTAAAAGGCAATGTTGTGAGTAAAGCAAGATACAACCCAGCCAACACAACTCAGAAAAAAGTTATGCTTAGTTTCTGTTGCATTTTTTAAATCTTTTAAAACAAAAAGAAGTATACGTGTCAAAAATGGTTTTTATTTCGTGAAATTAACTATTAATATTTACCATAAATACCAGTTCAAATATTAATGGTTTCACCGGAAACATAATATTGTATTATAATAACTTTCCGTAAGCATATGAAACCACTGAGAAAAGCATGCAACATTTAAATTTGACTTTAAAACCTCAAAAAACACGCGTTAAACTCGAGTAAAACTGCTCGTAATATACTCGTGTTTTTGGTTTACGCCTAGACCGTGACAAATACGTGTTCACACAGGTTTTAATTCCGAAAAAGAAACTAAATGTGCCGGTAGGGAATGCCTATAAAGTTTTTTGGTTTTATTTGTAAAGGGATATTGCAAACAAATTCCCAAACAGCATTCCACTGTAACACCAGTGCTGATAATTTGGGGTGTTGTCTCCTATAACATGGACGTGTAGATGAGCTTCTAAAACCTGTTTAATGAGTTGGTAAAATCTCGTGATCCGTGTACACATCTAGTCCATTGAACACATCTAGTCCATTCTGCATTTTCTCCCTCAGGACTTGTTATGGGATATGCTCCATCTATTGTTCCAAGATATCCTGGAAATCGTCAAAGTTCGTAAAATCACACACACACACACACACACACACACACACACACACACACACACACACACACACACACACACACACACAATTAGTAAAAACATTTATCTAATATTATCTCTGACTGGCTGTTTCTTCATCTGTTGGTTAATATATATAAAATCAACATCATTTTCCTGATGATCTTATAGAAGGAGAAACAGCCTGTCGAAGAAAATATTAGATAAGTGTTTTTACTAATTTATATATTGGCGCTACTGCAGTTTCTCATTCCACCCCACCCCCACCCCACCCACCTTTTTTTATTATATTATTTTTTAATTGCTGATTATGGTAGAGAATTTTATGCTGATTAAGAATCGTATTAAAACACAGGTCTAAAAATCAACAGAAAGTGATGTTGAAGTTTAAAAAATTACTCTAAAAAACGCTAATATTAGCCATTTTTAAAAACGTTTTTCATCAAAGTTTATATTTTGAAATTGATCGTTTAGAAAGTCTTTTTTTAATTATATAACCCGGTTTTTATCGTCGTCAAAATTAAATCATATGTTTTATGAGGTAGGCTCTCTTGTCAAACCCTTATTCCGACGCTGTCCTTAAAGTCCGCGAAATGGCGAGTTATAACGCTTTAAAGATTTCGCGATGGAGTTGCTACGGAGTTTATTTTTAATTTTTTTTTTTTTTTATCAAGATGCTCTAAAAAATCCTAATGGTCTTGTCACAGCGCACCGCCACAAGGAGAATACCATTTAATAAGTTGGCTTTACTTTTTATTATATTTTGCTTAATTATAAAATCAAATACTTATAATAAAAATAAAATATTTAGTATATAAAAGTTTTATAGTTTGGTTATTTGGTTATGTTAAAATAATGTTTATTACGTACTTTGAATATTTTGCCTTTTAATGGCGAAATTATATTTAGCAATTGTTCGAAGCGTCATGCGAAAAATTTGCAGGGAAAATAAAACAAAAAATTTGCCGGGAAATTGTTTACTTTAAAAATGTTTAGATTAAAAATATATTATATACATTTGACATATGTAATGTGAGTTAGCCACACATCCATTTCCTCGATTACTCCGTGACTTTTTCAAAATTCCACCCGATTTCGCTGATTATTATTTTCAAAATTCAAGCCAACTTCACTCATTATAATTATCAAAATTCAACCCAATTTCACTCATTATTCACTGATTTTTTTGCAGAAAACTGAACACAGGTACTCTACCGATTATTATCAATTTAAATATTTATTAAATGATTAAAATAATATGAACGTATCATTATTAACGTAAGTTTATTAAAAATTATTATTATTAACATCAAAAATAGATATATTGCCAAAAAACAAATTTTTTTTACCTTAATTATGATGAACTCAGTTTACTTTTTAAACTATTGGCTAATGATCAATACAGTAAATTTCAAATCATTAAAATTTACCAAATTAAAACCATATCTCAACAGTAGGTTCAACCAAATTTAAACAAAAGCTAGACACTAAAGAAAAAAAAAAGAAAAAAGAAAGAAAATATTAAAAAACATATTTTGTTATTCATACATGTAAAAGTTTACTTATTTATATAACTATATTATTTATATAATTAACTATTAATTGATATACAAAAAATGTTGTTAAAAACCTTGAAATATAAAAATATTTCTTGGTTTTTAACAATATGACATAAAAAAAAGGCTTTTAAAGAAAATCAACAGAAATAATGTTAAACCTTAACTAGACAATATTGGACTCCTACTTATATTAGGAATAATACAATGTAATAAGACTCATACCCCAGGTTCCATTGAGTCTAAAGTAAAGAAGTAATTTAATTTATTTTAAAAAACTAATAATAAAAATACTGACAGATCCTCTCAAACGCTTCATCTAAACTTTAAAAAAAACTTTATTAAAATAAAGACCTGAAATATTTCTAAAAAAAAGCCAAACTAAAAAAACCAATTAACTAAAAGTGATACTATTGACTAACAATTGTTGTTATCAACTATTTTTTCTCTAAGCAGTCTCACTAAAAAGTTAAACTTTTAACTCTAACTTCAAATCAAATTTTTTTTTAATAAATATAAAATATTTACAATCTTCATTTAAAAGAATTATTAATAACTGTTTGTCCTTCTTAAAATTTTTTTGATTTTGAGCTTATTCTCTTCTTGTCACCATAAATCTGAAGTGTGATTGGACTATTGAAAGGTCCAAACCAGTGATTCTAATATTTGTTAGGGTTTTCGGGCCTCAAGTGTTTGGTTTGATTAAAAAATAGACAAATCACATTGGTTCGATAGGAATATTGTAAAAAGAATCGTCTAAAGGTGCATATTCTTCAATTATATCTTGTTTCTCCTTTTCTTTTTCTAAAATTTTTATACTAGATGCAATTCTTCTTTTTTCTGTCGAAATTCCAATTCTGCCGGTAAATTTTGTTTTCAAAATTTTTGGTTTAGGTAATTTATCTGAAATTGCACATGCACACCTTTTTTTCTTAGTAACTTCATTCCTTTCTAATGGGATGTTGTCGTGTTTAGGGACAAGTGTTTGAAGCTCATTTAGGATTTCTTGAAGTTTAAATTTTAAGGATTTAACCACAATCTCATCATAAACTAAGTAACTTAATGTTTTTATTTGAGAAAGGATATCTCTACATGATGATGCATTTGTTTGCTTAGGGTATATTTTATTCTGCACATTTTCCAAAATAACATGACCTTGTGTCTCAGATAAGTTGTCTTCAAAACATATATTAGATTCTTCTTCATGACAAGATTCATTACCATAAATGACTGAATTATCCAAACAAAAGTATGGAGATAATCGGTAACTATCTGGCAATAAATCCCAACTAACTCCATCGCAATGTTGAAAGATTGCTACCATATGTTTGCATGGCATCAATGTTTTCTTCCATTCTATGCATTGGCAATCAGGGAACTTAGTGTCTTGACCTCCAATAGTGACAATATAACTTTTTGCACTTGTGAAGCTTTTTACCTCATACATTTGCTTATTCTTAGAATTTTCATGGAATGTAATTTTTAGGTTGTTGCAGTCCTTCACAAGACCAATCTTTTCTATACAATGTCTTGTGAAATTCTCAGGTTTATTACAAAGCCATTTTGGAAGGTTGCTATTGTAGAGTCTGTAGTCTGAGCAGCGACGAATATTAGCTTCCACATACCTTAAAGAATGAATAATAATAAATTATTTGCTAAGATTATTCTCAAGACAATAATTATTAAAATTTATAAAAACTTTAATAAGAATAGAAAGGTCTATTAAAAAACTGCATATACATAGAAACTAATAAAATCCCTTTTTATTATTCTAATAAATTTGACAATATATGTCTATATTATCAATTAACAACGAATGTTTGCATTGTCATTTCAGTATAATGAAAGTATAATTGCTTTTCAGTATAATTGCTTTTGTCAAAAGTTTACCTGCTGTATGTCTCAGGAATAAATTGATCAACAAGAACTGTCACCATTCCACTTAACGAGTTATCCTTATACTGATTTAAAAACTCATGTTTGAAATCTCTGTTCTTTCGCTCAACACCGTTGTTTGTATTTACAACTGTCTCTAATATTCCACTTCTGAATGCTTGACCCAACGCTACATAAAGGAAAAAAGCCAGTATTACGTCAATTCATACACATAATAGGATACATAATAGGATAATAAATGGTTATATTGCATAAAACTTGTAAGCAACAAGATCCTACCTTTTTCTCAGGCAACCATGTGTTTTCTATGTAATTTTTAAATTTAATGCTATTTGTAGAGATCCATATTGGATCCTTGTGTAGAGCTTGTATAGCAATGTCATATTCTTCCTGTGTTTCAGAAGCAGCTATTCGTCTAAGTAAACAAAGAGCAGTGTGCTTGACTGATCTCATTCCATTTGCATTAGCAGACAACCATCTTTCCCACGCTTGCTCACGGTGAAAATCACAGAGAATAACAAAGCAATCTTAAAAACAATCATTACGCTCAAATATAAATTTATTTCATATGTAACTTATGTCTTTAATTTAGAGGAAATTAGGCACCAATAATCCTAAAATCCAGGGTACTTTAAGGTTAATATTATTTTTTTACAATTTCTTAACTCTAAAATAGCTCTAAAACTAATGAACCCATTTTTTTCACTACATTTATTATTCTGCAAATCTATATCCCACAACATATGTACTACATCAGCTTTTATGATATCCGCTTGAATAACTGATAAAGGCACTAGAGGGTTTGGTGAATGACATTCACCAACTATAGAAATTACATTTTTTTGACATAATCAATTAATTAAAAATTATTTCTATTATCATATATATACTTAGCATAGACAAATCTTTGCTACTTTTATGGGATTACACCCCTAATGTAATTTGGTATATTAGAGGTGTAAACACTTTTCTATTATAAGGGGTGTACCCTGATAGTCATCCGGTGGCACAGGAAAACTTGTTTTCTAAAATGGTGACTTAAATTTCAAATAAAATTTCTCTTGGTAGCCCAGCAGGACAACCAGGCAGTTTGTTACTTACAAAAAAATGTTTATTATTAATATAAGATTTCATTCCTTACAATTATTTAAAAGAAACCTTCAAAAAGTATTTAATTTAGTCATACACTACGTTTAAAAATAAATACACTATGGCACATTAATACATTTTTAGATATTACCGGCCTACTGGTTATCATTGCAGACAACTCAAGTAAGAAAATATTTCAGCTGCAGGGACACCATGAAATGACCAAAGGACACACCCCTGTATATATAACAACTTCATCTATTACTAAAAATAATCAACCATTTTCACAAAAAATTATCAAACACTTTCAGAACATCAGTTAGGGCAGCAACTCTAATTACACAGGATAATAATTTACCATAAATATACCTTACCTATGTATACGCATGAACAAAGAAGCTATAACAACAAAAAGAAATTATAATTAAATATAACAAACCAACCTTTAAAAACATTTTCGATTGATAAAATTTCTGCCTCACAGTTATCAGTCATAAAACACTTAGGGTTCCATTCTGGATTCCACTGACTTAATTTTTTTAGTGCTTCTGTTATTGTATCAGTAGTTTCATCTTGCACTGCAAAGGACGCTACTACCTGATAGTTACTGTTTGTTTTTACAACAACAAAGAACAACGGGATTGAATATCTAGTAGATTTATAAGTGGCATCTAGTAGGCATATATGATTGCCATATTTATAAAGAAGTTCTTTTTGACTTATTGTCTGGTGAATAAAAAGAAGTTTTTGTTTTGTAGGAAGTACGTTAGACTAAATATAAAACTAAAATAAAAAATAATCTCTGAAGCTTACTAAAATTTATATAAAAATTTATCACATCAAAAATATTGCCAGGGATACATTTCTAGATATATTAAACATATTAAGAACATTTCTCTAAAAGATAAAAATAAGTATAAAAATGCATTTGATTTATTAAATTATTTTTTTTATAGTATCATTTTTTCCTTTCATTATACTCAAAATAATCATAATATACCAATACAACTTTCACTTACAAAAATATCTTCTTCATTTTCTCTGTTAAATTTTTCTGAAACTTCTAATTCTTTGCTATGGTCTGTAACTTCTCCGTAACCACGATAATAAAACTTATCTCTTGGGTATTTATTTCTCCATTCTTCAACCTTTTGCTGGAGATTTTCTTGATCCAGTTTAGAAAATTTCAACTTTGTAGCAGCTTTATACATATGATTTCGTATATCTTGAATTTTTGGGTAGTATCTTCTAGATGATGTTGGTGGTAATTCTAGTCCTCTAAATAGTTCGTCTTTTACATATACACGAATAGATCTTTGCATTTCACGTGGATTTCGGATCCCTTCTCCAACCAATTGATAAATTTTGGAAATAATTTTAGAATCAACTTGTAGTGACAAACCAGCCCTCTAAAAAAATTTTTGAATGTTTTTGGTTAACTTTAATGGTTTCATTTTATATTATGTTTTTTTTTTTTTTTTTTTACTTTCAGATTTAAGAAAAAGAAGGTCGCAATATATTATTAACATTAAACTATTTTTGGTGGTCTTCTGGAAGGCACAAAATACAATAATATAGAAACAAAGTCAACAAAAGAGGTTGAAGTCAGATCAGCAGATAGTTCAGCATTGCAGAGTGCTGAAACTAAATCTGAGGGTTGGTAACCATATTTGACTTTTTAAAGATTTTGTTTAAAATTTCAGAAAAAAAAAAAAATTACTTTTCCAACTAAATGACCTTTGTGTTCGTCTTCTAAGGGGAAATTAACAACAATTTTTCTATCAAAATTAAATGTTTCTTTTTGTTGCTCCAGTCCTCCTTCAGTTTTTCAGCGACAGTACGCTTTCGGCGTTCAGTGTTAGCTTCTGCCTAAATTTAAAATTAATCTATTAATCTATTCCATTAAATAGTCTAATTTTTACAAAAAATTTAACTTAAGTCTGTTACCGCTATTTTATAATAAAGCATAATCTAAGAAAAGTCACAGAAATTGTATTGTACTTTAAAATCTGGAAAATAAACCACATCTCTTATTGTAATTTTTGCAGGGCAGTTCATTTTCTTTGTATCTTGGGACAAAAAACGACTTTTAGCATACATTGTGGCACTATTAACAGTATCCTAAATGAAAGTTCACACACATAAAAACATTTTAAAAAATTATATATTTATCAAGATAAGATTCTAATCCATTGTTTTTGTTTAGTTGTTTTTGTATCGATTAATAGGACATATTTTACTCACATCAAATTTTTAAAAGTGGTCAAAATAAATTACTTTTGCCTTCAGTTTTTCTGCTTGATTTCTCATTTTCCGCGATATAGTATGATTGACTCCATGAGTACAATCAAGATGTTTCGAACCAACAATTATAAACGGAACTCCACTAAACATAATTTGCTGACTAGGGCGAAATTTATTCTTTTTATCTTCAAAAAGTATTTTGTGGTTTTTCAACTCAAAATCTAAAAAAACATTAAAGTGTCAATATTTAATTTATTCTAATATACTAATTATAAGTTAGATTTTTGCTCTTTTTTTAAAGCCGGCACAGACATTAAAGCCTAGCATTAAAGTCACCAAAAACAACAATATTATAAATAAATGTAAATTTAAATTAATTTTAACGTAAATTTATTTAACTTCATTAAATAAATGTAAATTTATTTAACTTATTTAACTTGTCTGAAAAAATAAAAAGACAGTATGATTGAATAATATATACGTCATAAATATATTACATTTTCAAAATAAATAGATTGCAAATGGAAACCGTATTGAAAGTTATATGACCATCAAATTATACTGTGCATATCCATCAAAACATGCTGTGCATACCCAGTGATTTAAATCATGCAAAATTTTAATTGAGTCATAACTCAAAGCTTTAAACCCCTCTATCCCTTGAGAAAGTAGTGTTAACTGACATGGTTCTTCATTCGCCAAATTAAGGCTAACGATAGTATTAAAGGCGTCGATAATGCGGTCATTTAGCCATTCATTAGACTCCAAAATTTCTTTATCTTCTTGTTTTAGATTCAGTTCCTGTATCCACCATGCAATTGGTGGGAGTGGATCTTCTAAATCTATAATTTCTATTGAAGTTATCGCTTGTTTCAAATGAACATCTTCCAATAAAACAGAAGTTAGTGAAGTAATTAATGTAGGTGGAAACCAAAGTTTTAAATTGCTAGCATTAACAACTTGTTTAATAATTTTTTCTCCAAGTTGAAGTCTGTAAACTCCTTTACCTAACTCGTCTATGATTTTAAAAGGACCTGTAAATCGCGCAGAAAGCTTGTCACCCATTCGTGTGTCACGACGGTTATGTTTAAGTACCATTTGCCCGACTTTATAGGTTGCAGCTGAATGCTTAACCTTTTGTTGCGCTTTTTCAATCTTTTCTTTCGCCTGTTCTCGTGTATTTTGTAGGGATTGTTTAAGGGTAATTATATGTTGAGGTACATCATTGTTCTCATCAACAGAAGCCTCGCATATGTCTTTTTCTATATCGATTGAAAAACGAGCTTATACTCCATACATTAGTTGGAATGGCGAATACTTTACAGATGCTTGAATGTTAATGCGATAAGCAATAACAACTGGATTAATAAATAGGTCCCAATTGTCACTTTCTTTGTTTATTAGCTTGAGAAAATGTCATACCAAGATTTGATTAAATCGCTCCGTCAACCTGGAAATCCAATGAGATAAAAGTTTGTTTTATAATTATAGAAAAAAATTTGTTTAATATGATATGGTGTGTATATGTTGTTGTAATGACATAAAATTACCGTTTTAAAATAAAATTTTTCAAATTTTATTTTAAAACGGTAATTTTATATAACTATATTAAAAATATTATAACTATATAAAAATATTCAGCCATCTTGAAAAAGAATTATCTGTTTTTTAAAGATATACCCATTAGTTTGAGGATGGTATGCAGATGTCATAGCAACTGTTATTTTCATTTGTTCACAGAGATCGTGGACAAGCTGGTTCTTAAATTCCTTACCTTGGTTGTGTAAAATTTTGTTAGAAGCACCAAATCTGAATACAAGCTCCATCAAAAATGCATGAACACTAATAGCATTTTTTTCCCGAATAGGTTTCACTTTCGCATATTTCGTAAGATATTCAGTAGCTACACAAATATACTTTTTTCCTTTTTTTGTCTCTTTAAGAGGACTAATAAGGTTGATACAAGCCGCACATTTACGTGCAAAATCTTTGACGTCTGCTGCTATACAAGACCACCAATACCGATTGGTTACTTTAGCTATTGTTGCAGATTGACCGAAGTGACATCCGCCGATAATTCCATCATGCATAGACTTTATTATATTTTTTTTTTGGTCTTCATCAATGATAACTCTTCCTAATTTAGTATGTAAACTCTTACTCTTGTGATAAAGAAAATCTTTTACAATCAAAAAAGAAGTAGCTTTTTGCCGCAGTCGTCTTTTTTGTGCTTTATCATAACCAGGCGGATACACTTTATTTAAAATATAATGTTTCAAATTCATATAAATTTCTTCGTCTAGTTTATTATTTATATCTTCAATTTTGTGTTGAATTTTATTTAATGTTTTTAATGGCTTCCATTTTTGAGACTGTTATACAACTAAATAATAATTTAATATTTCTTTTCTTTTTCTTCAATTTATTCTTAATTTAATTGCTCAGTAATAACTATTATTTACGATCTTTTTAATAATTGACAAAAATAATAGACAAAAATATTTTTAATGAGAAAACTTGCAAAAATTTTACCTTATCTACCTGAATCCTTATTTATATTTTTTTAATAATTGCATTATAGACAAAAAATAAAAACTGTTCTTAAAACCATCGGGATTGGCCGATGGTTACCTAGGCCGATGCATCGGCTAAATGGTTGATGCATCAGCTAAATGGTAGATGCATTGGCAGGCTGATGCCAATCCAACCCTACATATAATAGACTCATTTCTCACATTTCTTAAATTTCCATGGTAACCACTTTAACCCACTTTTAATGTAGTTTAAAGTGATAACCTGCGAAATTTCGAAAAGGTGGGTTAGGCATCTTTTCAAGAGTTTGTCATATAGCGTTAACATTATTATTAAATCTTAATATAAATATATTTATGACACATACACTTTCTAGTCATTTCATGTTTTTTCATTTTTCATAAATCAGTAAGCTTCTAATCATGTATACATATATGCATGTAAATATATATGTGTGTGTGTGTATATATGTGTATATATACACATATATATATATATGTACACACACACATATACACATATATGTAAATATATATATATATATATATATATATATATATATATATATATATATATATATATATATATATATATATATACATATAATTATAAATGCATTCTATAAAATGGAGTGCTCAATGTTCTTAAAAGAACAGAGCAATAAATTAGTAGATGTAATAGATAGTAGAAAGATAGTAGTATTCGATATATACGTATTTACATATACACATATATATCGAATGTACAAATATTTAAGAATGCTTAAAATATATTTAGTGCTACTGTTATTATATCCATATCAGTACTAATTAACAGATTAACAAACACAATTATTATTTGTAAGTCGATGTAGCAGTACTCTGGTGCGAGTCAGGCTATAAGATAGTCGATGTAGCAACACTCCCTTGTAGCAGCAGACTATAAGATAATCGATGTAGCAACACTTACGCATGCTTTAAAATTGTTTTTTTAATAAAACAAAAACAAAAACACAACTAATTAAAAAAAACTTTCTAGTCATTATTATTGCGGTTTTTAAAAAAAAAAAAAAAATTTAATGTACTTCCGCATTAATTTAATTGCTTTGACATTTCGACAACAATAAAATGCAGCTTAAGAAACAAGGTTAAAAAATTGTAGTCGAAAGAGACTTTTTTTTACCATAAAAGTCTCTTTCGACTACACTATAAGGATATATATATATATATATATATATATATATATATATATATATATATATATATATATATATATATATATATATATATATATATATATTGCAGGTAAATTGTAATTAAGAAAAACAACATTTCCTTTTCAACAGTTCCTATGAAGAGTTTTTTTGAATTTGACAGTGGATATAAACTATAGTTTATATCCATTGTCGAATTCAAAAAAACTTTAAATAGGAAATGTTGGACGATTTACTTGCTGTACCTTTACAACACATTAACAATATATCTTCCCAGAAAATTAAAATAATGCAACAAAATTAAATATGGGCGATTCACTCTCATACAGCATAGCCTAGCAACAACAAGTCACCAACAACAACAATATTAGCAAAAGAATAAAGTGAAAGAGCTTGGTCAGAAAAAACATTCCAAAACGAAAGAATATAAAAGAATACTCAGAAAATTCAAACCTAGATTTAAACCAAAGTCACCTAACAAATTAGTGAATTGTTAAGTATGTAAATGCCTAGGCCAATCGTGTGAATATTACAATCTTAATAAATCAAAGACAGATATCAATGAACACTAAGATAGCGAACTTAAACTAGTTTTACAAAGGTTAAGTGAACTTTGCGAGAATAAGGATTTGAAAAAAAAAAAAATTATAAGATTACTGATATGTATTATACTTTTTGGTACACTATTCATTTTTGGATTTTTAAAAGAACTTGACTCATGGATAGTATGGATAGTACTCAATACACTGTTAGTACTATCATATTTTACAGCTGTTTTGGAATCAACCTCTTTGAGAGCTAGCACAGAGTTTGGTAAACCTGATTACCAGCTGTCTTCAAAAAAGCATATCCTACAAGACAGCATGATAATAGGCAGGTTTTACTGGGTTACATGGTACCAGTAGCAGTAAGATCTAACAAAAATAACCTTAATCCCTTAAAAAATGAACTAAATATTATTTATGCATATAAATAACAATGAATATATAAATAATAAAGCAAACTAAGAAACAAATTTAAAAAATCTATACCCTTTACGCTAAAAGTTTTATCTTTTTTAAACGTTGAAAATTTTGAGGATGTTTGCACCTCATATTTAATAATTGAATCTTCTGCATTTTGTAGAGTGTCAAACACAGAAAATGTGGTATTAATCACTTCATTGCCTTAAAATAAATATTATAATAAATTCTAATTATAAATACAAAAAGTAAAAATAAATACAATAACAAACATAATATTAATAATAAAATATAATTAATTTAATAACAGAAAAGTAAATAAAGAAATTTAAAAAAAGAAAAAGATTTACTTATTTCTTCCACGGTTTTCTAAAAAACTTAGAAGAATTGACCAATTGGCTACAAAAAAACTTGGTAAAAGAGTATCAATTTAAATAAGGTTTGATTAGAGTTTGTTTACTGAAAAGTACACAGTAAATAAGTAATTGGGAGTAGAAGACTGAATAAATTAAACCTTTAACTTTAGATAATTTTAAAAAATATTTTATTTAATATTTAAATGTTAATGGCCATATAACCGTCTTAGTCAAACATACATATGGAAGTTTGAATAAATTTAACTGTAACTTTAGGAAGGAAGAATAAATTTAACAGTAACTTTAAATTTTACACTATTAAAAACATGTAAAATCTTTACATGTTGTTAACAGTGTGAAGTTTAAAGTTATTTATTATGTGTAAACATCTCAGTCAAGGGTTCCCTAACCCTGACATCTTAAAGATTTTTAACTTAATTTAAGTTAAAATTTTTTTAATGTTGACTATAAATAAAATATTTTTACGTCGTGGTGATTAACTTTCCATTCTATTCCTTATGATTATATAAAAAGTATTATTAAACAAGTAATTTTTTCCTGCCAGTTCTAAACTTTTGTTAAATAATTGCATCTATTCAAACACAAGTTTTACTCAACTCCGTAACTTCGCCAAAAAATCTTTAAAGCTTTATAACTCGCCATTTCGCGGACTTAGAGGACAGCGTCGGAATAGGGGTTTGACAAGAGAGCCTACCGTTTTATGAATATATTTTATATATTTTTGATTGATTTTTAAAAAATTAATTTAAGATATTTAAATGTACATAAATCGATTGAAAAATATGGATTGGCGCAATTTAATGTACATACATTGATTCAAAAATAGGGATTGGCACAACTAAATGCACATACATTGACTGACAAATAGGGATTGGCGCGATTAAACGTACATGATTTGGGGATTGGGCAAGAGATAAATCCGCTTTGCATTTTTTAAAAGTTTTCCTTTGAATTGTTGATAGAAACCAGGCTTTTTTAAAATCATCTTTGAATAGGATTTTAATTATACCCCTGTATGAAAAAAATGGCGAATATTTGCGTTTTTAAGTGTAGCTTTTTAAACTTTAACATCGAATTAGAGCACTTTTTGTTGATTTTCAGACCTATATTTTTATACGATTCTTAATCAGCATAAAATTCTCTATCATATTCAGAAATAAAAAAAAGGGGGAGGGGGCGGGAGAAACTGCAGTAGTGCCGGTCTTTTTATGCAATTATTCAATTTCACTTTTATTATTCAATACGTTTTTTGACATTTGTTTTGATTTAAAATACGCGCAAAAGCCTCTCTTTCAAAATCAGCAAATCAGACTGCGCATATCTCTGCCTATTTTGAGGCTATATAGGGTGCTTCCGGTACTATAAGAAAATTTTCATATAGTACCGACTTTACGTACTCTATCCACGGCGTTTTTATTTCAAGTTTGCTTTCAAGACTGGTCTGTACCGAACTTAAAAAAACAACTTGAAATCTGATTTTTCCAGAATAAATTCATTTTAAGTTTTTTCTTGCATAACAATTTAGTCAGACTTCAGATTTGAAGTATAGCTTGAAATTTTAACTTCACTTCTTGCATTCGGAAAAGATTTTTGCTTTTTCAAGTTGGCTCTTTGCATTTGCTCAAGTCAAATTTTAGACTTGAAGTATGACTTCAAAATTCAAGTTCGCTTCTTGCATTCCCTCCATGCAACTAAGGCATGGCACACGTTTTTCCGAACAAAAATATAAGTTTTTTCAATTACAATATATGTAAGTTTTTTCATCATTATTTTAACCACTATTATAATCTGGTAAAAGTAATGCCAAATCGCCAAGCGTAGTTTTATGTTGAAAAATATAAGTATCCGAGGTACTTATGTTTTTCAACATAAAGTACCTCGGGGCTTGGCTATAAATAAGTGTATGGATTTGATTTTTTCATAAAAGCACGTATTTTCAATGTAACTTGACATTTCTAATCAAACATTATTTGGGAAAATTATCCATGAAAAACCATTATTTATATATTTTTAGCAATAAATGTTATCATATTTTGATATTTTTTTTAATTTTGCGGCTGTTTTATTTTATTTTAATCACTAGTATATTTTTAACTCTAAGCCGACGACACCGGGGGGTTGGGAGGCACGTTCCCCCTCCCCCTTCCAATTTTTTTATAGAGGACTTTTTTTTTTTTTTAATAAAAATCTTGATATAGAGGACTTTTTTACAAATTGATGATTGTGCCCCCCCCACTTCAAAATCCGTGTCGTCGGCCCTGTAACTTAGACTGTATGGTTTTCATTTTTTATATTTTTGTTAGTCAGAGATTAGATTATATCTTATATTATATATATATATATATATATATATATATATATATATATATATATATATATATATATATATATATATATATATATATATATATATATAATTAATTATATATTTATATGTGTATGCGTGTTTTATTAAATATATATTTGTATGTTTATGTAACTTTTGTATGCATGCATATATATACATATATATGTATGTGTAGTCTGTAGTGTGTATGTGTATAACTTAAAATAAAATGCAATGTGTTGACTATGGGTTGCTTGGAAATTGTTATTGAGTACGAAAAAAATTCGGCGATGCTATAAATCATGGTTTGAATGGTAAAAAGCAAACATGAAATATACTGTTTTGTTTTGTTTTTGTTTTTTTTTTTAAAAAAAAGATCTATGAGCAAGAACTAATTATTAACAAGAATTAACCTCGAAAGTACTAACGTCCTTCCCAACTAATTTAAAAAAAAAAAAATTTAAAACGGGTTTATATTAACATCACCAAAAACACTATCAAACCACTTCAATAATTATATTAACAGTTTGTATTAACTATATTCATTGATAAAGTATTGCACCGGTTTTAAAATTACTTATTGAAACAGATCCACTTCATGTATCAAAGCAAATAAGCATTTTTAAGAAATCAATAAATATAAACAAAAATTTATACCGACGAGCAGTTATTTAAAGCGTTTAATTTCAGCAGTTCACTGTGACAAGACCACACGGACCTCTTCGAGTTTCCCCATTCTTTATTCCTAATTTTTTGTTTAATTCTCTATTGTTAACGAAACCTTTATTTGTAAAATTTATTTATTTAACTTTTTTGGTTTTTTGCATTGACATAAAGTAATAAAGATTGTAATAAAGAAAGAAAAAAAAAGTAGATTTATGATTTAAACTAAATTTAAACGTTTAATCCATTTAAAAAATAAAGTATTTACTCTAATTTTTTTATTTTTTTATTATTGTACATATTATTTTATATTATAATGTATATAATACCATTTATATATTTTATTTTCAACACTTTGTATATTATTATTTTTATACCACTATTTGTATATTTTTTATATTTATACCACTTTTTTATATTTATACCACTATTTTTATATTTTTATATTACTATTTTTTATACCACTATTTTTCGCAACAAAGTGGAAAGCGTAAGAATCTTTTTTGACGTTTACGTGGTTTATGATACTTGTGGACTATTATTTAACATAAATTTACATAAAATTTGTAAAGTGCAGAGTTTGATTTGAGGTTGATGAGGGGAGCATAGGTTAAGACTAACTTAAATATTTAAATGCGACAAACATGTAATTTAGCCGCAAATATGTGTAGAACTGTGTAATGAACAACTTTTCACAAACATAATTATGTTAGATACCGGTATGTACCGAAGCAATCCTTACATCCATGCCATAAAGTTTCTCAAACAAAAAATAAGAAAGACAAAAAAAAAAGATCTTCGAAAAGTAACAAGAGAACATTATGAAAATATTATTAAATGTTTTTCTGGTTCATTTCCAGTATCAGGTCAGCTACGCAGAATTCACAGACACAACATGTATGAAAATTATGGCGAAGTAAATAATGATCCTACAAACATACTTGATTTAGTGTCTCTACAATGCTCCTTTTCTTCAGAAAATGTTAATGAATTAATAGCAACAAGCGCTACAGGTATAAGCCCTGTGAAATAGCATATTAGAAAAGCACATATTAATTAGGCATTAATTTTTACAATCAACTATTATAAAAGAAAGCTCAATGAAGCTGTAGATAACTTCAAAAAAGTAGTACCAGGACAAGGAGGTATTACTGAAAAAGTAGTACCAGGACAAGGAGGCCAATTTTTGAAGATTATGGAAAACTCAGCGGAACCATTATCAGTTTTTTCAGATGATTTGATATGCTCCATGAAGCTTATCAAAACAATCAAACGTTCAGCCAAAAAGTCCAAATTTATTCTCAATACCACAACTACTAATTTATTTAAAAGTAAAAACTTTTAAGTGTAACAAGATTTTACTTGTTACACTTTAAGATAAGCAAAAGAAACAAACAAAGAAATAAGGGCACTTACATTTAAACAAAACAAGAAGTCGTCAATAGATGAATATCGGCCTTGCAAAACACTTTCTAAATTATAAATTAACATCAGGACTTATTTAAGATATAGCTTAGTGGACAAGCAAAACCACTTTAACCGGTGGACATCAACAGGTACATTTTTGAAACACTTTTAAATTATCGTAACTGTTTTGCATTTAAAAAATATTGAGTTAGCCAGCATGCAATTCGGTTATAACTAATGAGATTCAGAGCACAATATATATTTGTAGCATCTTATTTTCTTTTAAATATTTACTTTTATTCCGTAGGTACTAATTAAGCTGTTCTAACAATGGCAAAGTGGCATACCATAAACTTGTATCAAAATTATTGTAAATTAATAAACCAAACTGTTTCAACATATTTATTGCGCTGGAAAGTTCTTAAATCAATTAAACCAAACCAACAGCATTCACAAGCAGGCCTTGATGATACGAAATGTGACGGCATAATTGGGTTTATTTCTCTAAATTTTTCTTGCTAAAGCGTCCACAGATGGAAACGCAATAAAAGATATGTGCTTTGTGTAATTCTAAAGGTAACAAAATTAAAACAAACACTTAATCTTCCTAATTCAGAATTTTCCTAAAATTGAAGATATAGAAGAACTTAAAAACAAAATTTTCAAAAGTATTAAATCTATATATTCTTGAATGAAGCATTTTTTTGCAACAAAACAAAGTCAAGGAGTATGCTATGAACCAAAAATTAACAAAAAACACACCTATGTTTCAAAATGGTTTATATTTAGCACCCTAAGGTATACCGGTTAATTATTTGTAGCAAATTTTGGAAAACCTACTAGCTATTTAATCTAAATTATTTATAATTTATAATTCTTTATAAAATTCTTATAAACAGCATTTTGGTACGAGCACTTAAAATCCGCTTTGTTTTAGTCGTGCAAAATTTTACATCCTCAGCAGTACCTATTAAGGTATTTCACTGAAACATGCACTAAGTTATTTTTAAGTTATCTTTGTTTGATTCTTATTTTGAAAGCTTAAAGGTTGGTAATTTTTTTGCAACTGGAGCTTTTAATCATATGTTAACCGTCTTGAGGTGTGAGAAAACCTTTTTTTCATATTTACTTCTCTTAACCATATGCTAATCATATTTCTTCGCACTTATAAACTAAAAACATAAAATACATGTAAATAAAACATAAATGTTTAATAATAATTATGTCTTCAAAATCTAAGAAACTATTAGATATTTACATATTCAAAAAAAATTAAAAAAAAAAAAATTCTGAAACTCAAAAAACACAATAATATGAAGTAGTTATTTTAAACCTATTACAGATATCTGCTGCCATGAAAGATAAAAGACAGCTTCTTAATAATAAACCACATAGGGGCATAAAAATGCATAATGAATATTGCTATAGTTACCATATTTGATGAGTGGTTGTTAGTGGAAATATATGACCCAAGAATCCTATTGGCAGAGCTGAGCTGCTTAGAATGAGCCTATTTTTAAATACGTGCATCTCCACATCATTAACAATTTAGTTCACTTTTTTAACAGTTTAGAAATAATCCGCAATTTTATAGTGATTTAAAAGTAATAGCATTAGTTTTTATTTAAACTGATTAAGAGTTGTATTTTTTTAAATGTTATTACTGATTATCTTATTCCATCTTTTAATAGTTATTTAGAAGTTGAATCATATATAGTTTTGGGTTGAACAAAGTTGTTACTCGAGGTAAGGTATTTGTGCTGAATTTAAATAACATTTAAAAAATTTTTAATATATTTTTATTAATTTTGTACATAAAAATTATAAGTTGCTATATGCTTGTTTGGTAAACATGTATTATATTCAGTTTTTCAATAAAGTACTATGATCAACCGTTTCAAACGCATTACTAAGATCTATAAAAATATCGATAGATCTATAAAGATCGATAAAAGATCTAATAAAAGATATTCTTGTTTTCATCAAAACCTTGAAAAAATAACATACGATAAAGAATTGCATATTCAGTAGAGTAAGCTGCTTTAAACTCAAATTGTTTATTATAAACGGCGTTATAGAAAATCTTTATTATATATATCTTACATTTTAAAGTCTAATACTCTAAATCTAGTAATCTGCACCTCAGAGAGTAGAATACCCAAAGATGACCTGTTGTTGATCTAAACATTCTATTTACTGAAATAAAAAAACAAAGTAAAAATATAGTATTAGCATAGTATTATCTATTAAGCTGTACATAGAAACACAATTTTTACTACTTTATTTTATAGAAAGAAATATAGTATATTAGATTTTACCCTTATAACATTTAAAATTAGTTTTTTAAAAAAAATATGGTATTATAGATTAAATTCAAACAATATAAACCTTATAATTGTAAATAACTCGATGTAACCTTATGTTGTTATTATTATTATTTATTTCAGCGATCAAATACTATTACAATAATCCATTTATAATTTGATGAAGAGGTGCTACACCAGGACCCTCTATGCTGACGAACATGGAGATACAGACGCTACAGACAAAGCAGCAGTTGTATCTATAAAGTTACTTTCCTATGTTGTTTTTGAAAGCGTTGATGGATTGAGCGTTCACTGCTTCTTGCGAAAGTGCATTTTATGGGGCGACAATTCTATTTGACAAAAAGTTATATCGCTCCTCACAGTTTTTTACCATCTGACGTTCTAGTTTATGGTTATAGCCTCTTAGAATATACTTATTTTTACTTTTTTGAAAATTTTTGCGGGACGACAAAACTGACAAGCTCAACTTTACGCGTGATTTTGAATTGCTCGATAAGATCTGCTCTTTTGCGGCGTTCTTTAAGAATTGTTAAACCGAGCCGTTGAAGTCAATCTTCATAGGACAGGTGTTTAATAGTCGAAATTGTTTTTGTTGCTTGTTGTTGGACTTGCTCGAGAATGGCAATGTCTAATTTTAAATGCGGTGACCAGGCTTGTACAGCAAACTCAAGATGGGGGCAAATGTAAGTCACATGATGTTAATGGATAATACAAACTTACATAATATGTTATCACTTTTAGGCTTAAAAAATATTTTACAAAAAAATATGTTTGAGCTATCAATAAGTAAAACTAGTCCAAATTTGCTGCAGGGGGTAGTTTTTGTCCAATTTCGCTCACCTTTGTCTCATTTTTGTTTTCCTATAACTAATGTAGAAATCATGTGAATAATTTTATTTAAAAAACAAATTATTTTCACTCTACCCTTAGCTGGTCTGTGGAACTCGATCCTGAATAATATAAAAAATATAATCACTATTAAATCATTTAAAAGAACAGTGAAACAGCATTTATTAAATCTAATCAATAAAAACATTTCTTTGTACTTTTAACTCGTATTTATTTGTTTATGTTAAACTCTTGTTATAACTAATTTTTACTTATATTTTTAATGAACTTTAACGTGTGAAACGTTTAAAAAAGCAGTACTTAAATAATGTAAATTATTTCAGAAACAAACAAGCGATAAAATGTATAGAGAATATTTTAAATTTTAATCACAAATAGAATATAAATTCAAAATTAGTCTTTCATAGCATTTATTTATGACTCCTCAAAAAGACACCTTAAAAGCAAAAAATTTGACATTTTAATAGAAAAATTAAAAGCGTCCAAATTAACCGTTTTGGTTTTTTTTTTTTTGCTAACTTAATTTCTCTATTTTTTAACTCCTACTTCTAATTCTACGAAAATATCATATATTAAAATTGTTATATCAATACAATTGCAAATACTGTAGAAATTTAAGGATCACATTTTTTAGTTTTATAAACTGTTGTTACAGTTTCGTGGATTATTGGGCTCCAACTTAAAAGAATGGAAAAATTGAAACTTGAATTAAGCGTAAAAAAATACTATTCAAATAAATAATAATTTTGTTTATCTTTTAAAATTTATTTTATAAGTCTTACATTTTTTACAATTGTCTTTTTATATACAAAAAATAAATACTGAGCTGTAAATAAAGAATTATAAATGCCGAATCGAATATTAAATAGCCAATCGAATATTAAATTTATTAAAAAAAAAAAAAAGAATTATAATACATTTTATAATTCTATAATTATAAAGAATTATAACTATAGAATTATAAATAGCCGAATATTAAATTTATTAAATAATGACAGATTATTATTTTAATAAGTTATTTATTTGAGGTACTAATGAATAAAATATAATAAATACAATAAAATAAAAGAAGTTTTTAATTTTTAGTTAAATATTATTTAATTTTTAAACTGATTTTTTTGAACCGAACGATGAAAAAAAATTTTAATGTATTTTATTAGGAAGGCTAGGATTGTCTTTTACTCTTTCGCAAACAAAAGGATGAAGCTCCCAACAAGGCACATTATCCCATTTTTTACCTCTTTGAAGGATTCCGCATTGTTTGGTTTGATCTCTTGTTATTCCATTATCTTTCCAATTCTGATAATCAACAAGACTGCCATCGCTCCATTTCCACCCAATATTTTCTCCAACTTTACTTGGATCAACATTTTCAAGTCCAATCCATGGTGTATCGCATCCATCAAAGGCTTTTGTCAGATCTGACTCTTCTTTACTATTACGCAAAGTTACAAGTTTCCCCTTTTGTAATTGGCATTGAATCCTAGATTCAAAATAGTCTACTTTAGTCATGTTTACCATGTAGCATTTACTACCAACAGCAATCCACCCGCGATCACAAAGATTTGGTTTTATGATTGTTACATTCAAATTAAATTTTGCCTTTGTTTTGCATACATAAAAGTTGCGAACATTTCCACAATGGAGATTGTTTACCCATTCACCGTCGCTATTACTCATAGACATAAAGTTACATTCGTAATATTCTCTACGTGGGTACCCCGAATTCCAATTCAGATAGTTTTGTTCTGTTGAGTCTAACCATTCCCATCCTAAACGTAAAAAAATTTAAAAATTTAAATATAAAATACTGTTGCTATAGTTATTTTATAAATAAATAAAAAAAGTTAAATACCTGTTTTTATTGTTTTTAAGTTATAATCAATCATTATTAAACCAATCCACGAATCTGCGCACATGTTCATTTTATAAACAATATCATTTTCATCACGATTATGAATTGAAACCAAGTCAGCATTTTTTTTACGACATTCGCGCGCAGCATTAAACCAATTAGTTTTTCGTAGTAAAGGATTTGGATGGTATGATGAACTCCAATAGCAATAATTCTTATAGTATTTCCAATCATCACTCTCGCATGGATCTACAGAGAAACATAAGAAAAAGATAAATGAAAATAAATTTAACAGGCAAAATTATAACTTTTACTTTTGATTGAACTTTTAAGATGAAATTTGTTAAAAACACTTTGAAGATTTTTTTTTATAAGTTTTATTGAAAGTATTTGAATTTTTAGAGGTTGTTGGAATATTAAATTTGAATTTGATCTAATGTAGAAATTAATTTTTATTGCTTAGAAGCTTAATACAATTTAAAGATTTATAATACAAAGTTAATTTTTTGCTTTAAAAACAATGTTCTTTTTTTATCAAATCAATGAATCTAATAAATAAAAAATTAATATTATGTTATGAATTTTGTGTATTAAAAGTTTTATTTTAAAATGATATTAACATAAACTAAAACTTCAAATATTCTTAGCGCATTTAGGAGTCGAGATCAGCTTTGAACAAGGAAACATTTTTTGGTTTTCTAATTTTTTATTACTTCAATCTTAAACATTTTTTATATTAAAAAATAAAAAAAAAGAAATTTTTTACTACTTGTTGATTAATAAAAATTTATGAATATAAAAGTTAATTTTTAATTTAAATTCAAAAGTTAATTTTTAATTTTTCAAAATAGTACCGCACAAAATATATAGCATATTTAAAAATATTTTCACCCAACGTTAAGTTTGACCGAAAAAAACTTAACAAGAAAACTTACTCAAAATTGTGTCAATGCCAGCAACAAACACACCAACCATTACAAATAAGACTATCATTGTTTCTACTGCTCTTTAATTTTTAAAAAAAATAAAATTCAATATATTATTTACTTTTTACATTAGTAAAATGTTACCACAATTTTATGTAAAATCTAATAACATTTTAAAATAAAATTTAATAATGCTTTTATTTAATTTTTGCAGATTTATTTAAACCTATGTTATAAATATATTTCTTAAAGAATAAAATTCGAAAAACATTAAGTATTCACGTAACGCTACGCGAAAATTTATGGTCAATTCAAAAGTAGATAAACTTTTTGATACGATTTTAAAATTTGTTCACAACTTAATGCTCTAGAGAATAAGTAACTGTCCTGGGAGCTTTAGATAAAAAGTAATTGCCCTATTTCAATATGGTAACAAGTTTTTATAGTTTTAATGGTTTTACATTCATTTGTTCGATCAAAAGGTTTTTAAGCAACAATTTTTGATTGATTGTTTTATTATTGTTATTTTTTTAAAAGAATCCATTGACAAGTATAAAAAAATAACATAGTAGCACTTCTTTTTAAATTTGAAACTAAGTAAAAGAAACTACAACATTTTATATTTAAGGAGTCCTATTTTTCCAATCTAGTACTAAAAGTTTCGCACAAATTAAAAACTCATTTAAACTATGAAGCTAACGTTATTATAGCATTAGGTCAAAGCTTGGTGTTAAGTCGAAGCGATATGTAGGTGAAAAATTAATAAGTATTCTTCGAACTACTAATAAAATAAAATTTTTACTGAAAAGTAACATAACACTAAAAGTTTCTTAAGATTTTGGTTTTTCTAGTTTCTTAAAAACAAGTTTCTTACAAAGAAAAAAAAAGACGTTTAGAAAGTAATCTATTAAAAAGCTTTTTAAGTTTAAATATAAACTATGGCCGACGACACGAGTTTTGAAGTGGAAGAGCTCAATCTTGGTGGTAGTGGAAGGGTACTATCTTAGTGGTGGTGGGGAGGCATGTGCTTCCCTGGCCCCCCGGTGACGTCGGCTCTGTAAACTATCCCCTCCTTTCTGTAATGACTGTTTTAACTGTTAAAACTTGACTTTTTATCAGTAAACTCCAAAAACTTAGTGAGATGAGTTACATAAAAGATATTTTTTTGTCTGTTGACAACATATTCTGCTCGTATTTATGGTCATCTAAATAAGCATTAACTATGTAGGGGAAAGTCAGGTAACCCCCCCGAAATAAATACTATATTTTCTTTAAATGACTTTTATAAATTTAGAAACACTTATTTATTGAATTAAAAGCAATAATGTTGTTATAAAATAATAAAAAGCAAAATGTAAAAGAAAAATTTTACCGAATGAACGTTTTAAAGTATTGGAGGGTCAACCCATATTTTTTAAATCATTAGGCACAAACTTAATACACTATTTAACTTGCTTTTAAACACATACATTCTAGTTATAATCATAAGAAACAGGAATAACATCAAAACCATTTTTGTGTGACTGATTCTACAGGTTTATGGGTTTTTTCTAAATTCAGATTTTATGCCACCCTTTATTAGTGTAACGAGGGGCAAAATGAGACACTTAAGCGCTAATATATCTAATACGGCCCGTCTAACAACTTTTGAAAAAATAAATTGATATTTTTCAATTCTTCTACGATCCTACTTGTAGTCTAAAAAGTATGAGTTGCAAAACTGCAGTAGTTTGGTCACCAAAGATCATTTTTTGACAGCACCTATCCTGTCTCATTTTGCCCCGCATACCGGGGCAAAATGAGACAGATTTTTTTTTAGTAATTTAAATAAATAAAGTTAAAAAAAAACAGATCTTTAAGAGGATTAGCAAGTAATACATTTTATAATATATTACAGCTATAATCAAATTGTCACTAGTCACATAAATCACATATTGCTTGACCAGTATTTTGAAACGAACAACAGTCCGAATGAGCCCAGGTTGTGCATTTTGAAAATTGACTCCACTTATATATATATATATATATATATATATATATATATATATATATATATATATATATATATATATATATATATATATATATATATATATATATATATATATATATATATATATATATATATATATATAATATATATATATATTTATATATATGCATATATTAAACTTGTGTATTTAAAGCACGCATAACATTCATTGTATTTTGTTTATAGGTATTGCAATAACCTATATGTTATAATCTACTCACTATATATTTTATATACTACTTACTTTATTACATTACAATACAATAAGATTATAAAATACAAACATAGTAATTATAAACATCAGGCAATTATTTGCTTCAATTTGATTAAATATTTATTATATTTAAATATAAGTTAACAAAATATAAAACGTAATTCTATATTGGATAACAACTAAACATTTCAATTAACAAAATAAAAAGTAAGTAAATACAGTATAATAAATTTAAATCTGCATCATGTAAATATTATTATTTGGTTAATATTTGCTTAATATTTGGTTGTTGTTTTAATGTAAAAAATTAAATAAACATAATATTAGATATCGGCAAAAAAAAAAATACAGACAGAATGTCTCGTTTTGCCCCGCATCATGTTGGCATCGAGTAGCCTAATTTTCAGACTATTTTATTGAAGAAATAAAATACCAAAGAATAGAAATGAAAGAAAAAGGCCTAAATTATCTAATTAAAAAAAAACTTTAAATATAAAAAGCTTTTCCACTCAGTGAGATCAAAAAAGGCTAGGAAAAAATATAATAACAACTCTTAAAAATTCGTAATTTTCGCGAAGCCGAGGGATGAAATGATTCCCCTTTTACTCAACTTTTTTATTTCAAAGTGACTCAATATATTTTTCATGACACAAAATAGTTTTTGAACACAACTGCACTTTTAAAAATCTTGCAAATAATAACTTGTAGGGCTAGCATTATGTTAAACGCGAACTGTCTCGTATTGCCCCGCTGTCTCATTTTGCCCCGCGTTACCCTACATACTTGGAGTTGATAGATGATGGCATTTTGAAGTTTTAAAAATTAAAATTTTATTTTTTGATATATATATATATATATATATATATATATATATATATATATATATATATATATATATATATATATATATATATATATATATATATGTATATATATATATATATATATATATATATATATATATATATATATATATATATATATATATATATATATATATATATATATATATATATATATATATATATATATATATATATATGTAACGGCTCCAAGAAGATTTTTTTTTATTGGTGGGGAGGGGGGATAATTTCTAAGATATTTTAGGATGTTCAGATTCTGCTGGGGGCGGGGGTATAAATATGGGGTATATATATTGCCGATAAACATTAGAAAAGTAACATTTTATTAATTTTTCTTTTTAATATTAGTTTTTTATTTTACTAATTGGTCATTTCATTAGACCCTTTGTCTTTTTTTTATATGGGTTTAGTTCGTGGCGCCGTAGAAGGTACGCCTACTGCGCTGGTAGTGTTAAAACCGGCACTTTTGATATTTTTTGCTGCTGATGGAATCAGCCTCTGAGAGTTACCACAGAGCTCGGGAAACCTGACTACCAGATGGTCTCAGAACCATAAAACTGAGTTTTAGCACTGTGTATATATATATTTTTTATTTTTTTATTTTGTTATTTAAGTGCTCTAAGAAGACCTAACGGTCTTGTCACAGAGCACCGTGGAAGTGCATTTTTACTTTTACTAAGTAAAATTAAAATTTTAAATTTCCTTTGAATTCTCTATACATACTTAAAGCTCCACTTAACTCGGCATTTGCTAAGTCGGACAAAATACATATACCCGTTCGGAGTCCGAGTTAACGGAATTCTACTGTATATATACATATATATATATATATATATATATATATATATATATATATATATATATATATATATATATATATATATATATATATATATATATATATATATATATATATATATATATATATATATATATATATATATATATATAGTATTGGACAAAACATTTGCTACCAATATCGAACAATGCTAAAAAGTGTTACTAATTTTACATGTCTTAAAAACGAAACGAGCTATACTACCACAGCAAACAGTTCGGGAGTCTGGAGTCATAGCATGCCATGACATGAGCAATCAGCTTACAAATGACAGCACACAGGCAGAATTTCGTTGACAAGTGCCATTTTGCAGCGGACAAAACCAGTGCAACTTTTTTGGTTTGTTTCATTTTCTTAAATCTGGTCTGTGTCAACGTCACGGAAGTTTTTTTTTTCACACACACACACAAAGTGCTAAAATTCAGTTTTATGGTTCTGAGGCCGGCAGGTAGTCAGGTTTCCCGAACTCTGTGGTAGCTCTCAGAGGCTGAAATCATCAACAGCTCAAAAATATCAAAGTAATAACAGTGCCATGTTGCGCATGGATGGTGTACCTGTTCTTACTCTTGGTATGTATCAAGGCCACATTTGGTCCCCATCGTTAAGGCTCAGGGTTTATTAATAGTAATGAGGTATTTGCTTAGGCTATTAAATAGTATACTGAGTACTGTCTATGCTTTGAGTCAAGTTCTTTAACAAATTTAAAAAATGAATAAAAATGAATAAAGCAGAGTTGTTAGTCTTTGGTCTTGGCCTTGGCCTTGACCATGAAACTTTTGGCCTTGGCCTTGTTCTTGGAATTCAAATTTTTGGCCTTAACCTTGATTGTTTTGGCCTTGGCCTTTATAATAAAATACATAAAATTAAAGAATTCAAAGTTTTCATTCTTTACTTTACATAATTAATTATGAAGTTAATCATTGTTTATTTTATGTAACTACTTTATTAACGTAAAGCAAAAATTCAAATCTTTGGCCTTGAAAATGTTTGCGCAGGCGTTGGCTTTGAAACTCTTATTCTTGGCCTTGGTCTTGTAACATGTGGCCTTGGCCTTGACCTTGCTTACTTTTGGCCTTATTAACAACTCTGGAATAAAGTACCAAAAACTATAAAAACACAAAAAACCATCGTCATCACCAAGT